ACATACACAACATATGGCACGTCGTTGGCCATCCTTGTTAATGTAGAGTGAGTATACTCAACAATGCTGTCACATACACAACATATGGCACGTCGTTGTTAACGAATCGCGGACACCCGTAACAATTTTGCCAGAGACAAAACATAGGGTGAATCATTGACAATCGTCGTTGACGTAGAGCGGGTATACTTAATGCGAATCTACATACGATGCAGTGTCATATTCCTTTTATTCTATCAGATAATAAGGGCTTTTGTTTGTAAATAGAAGCGACAAAATCAATAATCACAAGAAGTCCCCGCACATTGCCGAGTCCATTGTACGATTCCGATATTTCCATGAGCATGTGGTTATGAAATACTATCAAGTAGTGATGATGCCTGGTGTTCGAGAAAAGGTTACGTATCCTGACCCGCCGGTCAGAAGAAATCGCTGGTGAAATTATGGTTATTGTGCATGTGTGACTTCTGCAAAGTTGAAAATGGTGGTTCCTTACGTGACATTTTTCTTCTGCTAAATTTACACGTTTTTTTCATATTTATATCCTATTAAACATTGGTTACGGGATCTCGAATTTGTATTGACTAAACACTGTATAAGCCAAAATCATTTCCAGAGTAAAAACAAATTAATATTATATACACCATATAATGTACAATACGAGTCGGTGTCTGATGTAAAGGACTTGCCTGCCAAACTGAGTCCTTTAAATTAACTCAAGGAGGGCAAGTGTCATTGGAAGAGATAATTATCTATGGGTAATTCATCCGGAACTATCTGTCATGTAAGGAAAACTTATCCAGATTTGCCTAAAGAATAATTCCAAATACTTACAAGACTAGCAAAAGCCTGACTCATGTATTTCGAGACGTACCAGTCATTGACTCGTAACAGATAACAAGTTATTTCTTCTTCATACAGTTTCTAACATAAGAGTGAGTGAGTTGGGTTTAACGCCGCTTTTAACAGTATTCCAGTTATATCGCAGCGTGTCAGCTTAAAGTGGGAGGAAAGCCCGAAGTGATGCAGGTCTCAGACGTTTACCACTTCGGTGAAACCCACGAGCACGGGTATGGTGCTGACAAACCTAGAAACATAATCGGGGCGAACCGGGATTCGAACCCACAATCATTTTCTGGCGTGCCCAAGGGACGCAACTCTGCACAGCGAATCGCGGCGCCTTAGACGACTGGGCCACCCGTGCCCCCTCGAACATAAGAGACTCGATGTTAGAGCTCTAGTGAATGACTGGCATATTTCCCCAACGAACGTTAAGGAAGTACGGATAATCTGTCCCGAGTGAATGACTGGCTGGTACATAAATGTAACCCCCTCGAACTTTGAGGAAGAACGGATTGTCTGTCCCCAGCCAATGGCTGGGATACGCCATGAGTTTCGAAGGCAAGATAACCCCTTTTATCCAGAGTCAAGAAAGACATTGAAGTATCAATCCTGCAAATACGTTTCAATGAAGTCCACCTGTTATTCTACTGACGTAATGTTATCAATAATGATTACGTGATAACGACCAATGGATGTGGTCACATAAAGCATTGTTCTTAACAATGCAGCAGTATGATGACATATCATTTCTTTCCCAAAATGGAACAGTGTTTAGATTTGCCTGTCAATGTACGGTTATTAACGAACAACTCAATATTATTATCAGCAGTATATGCAGGTTCACATGTAAATTTGAAGTACTTGATGTTTTTAGAAACCTGAGAAAATGCGCTGTTTGATGAACCTGTCGTCCAGAAGAAGAACTTTCAAAGGACGAATCAAGATGACTTCCCTTCACGTCGTTCTGGTTGTCACGGTTCTCGGGCTAGCTGTCCTATGTAAGATATTCTATTTCTGGGAGACTACATACGCTCCACGGATGTTTGGCCATCTTCAGTGTAGATCAACGTGTAGGTATATTGTAATAAGTCCGATATGTGAAATTAAGAAATAGTCTCTGAGTAGTTGGAGTAATTATTTACAGAAAAAGTTCTCCATATCATTAAAGATGAATCGGAAGACGGACAACGCGGGATGGTAAGGGCGTAAATATGATCTGTTGTGATTGCCAAACAACCCGGACCTATAGTTACCCCTCCTTTAAAAATAATCATTTAATCCTCTTTTTAAGTATCAAAGAACTATACAGGCACAATTACTACAGCAAAATCGATTCACTGGAATGATTATTCTGAAAATCTATGAAACTGAGTTTTCTATGTTTTCACAAACATTTTATGTGAAATTAAATCCATTGGACAATGTAATGGTTTGTCATGTAGCTAATGTTGAGTGGGACCGCCTCCGTGGAAGAGCGTCCGCCTGGAGAGCGGAAGGTCCAGGGTTCGATCCCCGGGCGCGTCATACCAAAAGACGTTAAAAGATGGTACTTATTGTTACCCTGTCTGGTGCTCGGCATTAAGGGGCTAAAACAAGGACTGGTCGGCTCGGAGTCGGTATACTGTGTCTGAGAGGGGTATTCATGTTAAACTTCGGCATGGTATCTCAGTGAGCTAGCACTATATATCGGCATCAGTCCGGACTAGTACAAGCAGCCACACACAACCACACACACACGTGCATGCACGTCGCTATATAAGTGCAATAATCTTGGACGCGACGTTAAACCCCATTTCACCTCACCTCTGTTGAGTGGAAATGACACAACTGGTGTTTTTTTTCTGTAAGAGTTCGAATTCATATAAAGATGACGTTCACCTTCCCTTACTCACAGCATGAACGTACACAAACGAATCCATAATTTTGTGTGCAAATATGAATTCTGTATACAGAAGAATCTATCTATTACATTCTCGAAGCAAATTCAATCCGTTCAGTTGAGCATTTCCTCATGTTTTCCAGTTATCCCTACACATGTTATGTCATATATGGCGCACGGGTCTCCCAGTCGTCTAAGGCGCCGCGATTCGCTGTGCAGAGTTGCATCCCTTGGGCACGCCAGAAACCTATGATTGTGGGTTCGAATCCCGGTTCGCCCCAAATATGTTTCTAGGTTTGTCAGCACCATACCCGTGCTCGTGGGTTTCACCGAAGTGGTAAACGTCTGAGACCTGCATCATTTCGGGCTTATCTCCCACTTTAAGCTGACACGCCGTGATATAACTGGAATAAAGTTAAAAGCGGCGTTAAAACCCAACTCACTCACTCATAATTATGTCATATATGATAACTACTTCATAAACTGTCTGTTTCATGGCTCAGTTGTTTCGGAACTGTTACGGACTGACAATGCCTCCAGGTCCTTGACCTTGACCCTTGACTTGCCTGTTGGACTGTCAGATAAGAATATCCTTACGCGGCTGTATATCCATCAGCTGCAAAAACAGCTGAGAAAGAAAGAATACAAGGTAGGTAGTTGGCATACAATGAATATATTATGGTAAAGAGTAGGCATAAATTTTACAGTAGAAAATTGAAACACGTAATATAATTGTTGTGAGTGAGTATGGATTTATGCCGCTTTTAGCAATATTTCAACGACACCATGGGCTGTTAACAGGTCAGAAAACGGTTTCACATATTGTACCCTTTAGGGGAATCAAAACCGGTCATTCGGTGTGGTCAGCGAAAGGGAAGGCATACATGTACATCAACAGATTTGGAGTTGGGAGAATGTATACGTCCAACAGTTTGTAGAAGGAATGCACATAACAGATGGAGTGAGTGAGTGAGTATTGTTTTACGCGGCTTTTAGCATTATTCCACCAATATCACGGCGGGGGACACCAGAAATGGGCTTCACACAATGTACCCATGTCGGGATTCGAACCCGGGTCTTCAGCGTGACGAGCGAACGCTTTTACCACTAGGCTACCCGACCGCCCCGCACATAACAGATGGAGTGAGTGAGTGAGTATTGTTTTACGCCGCTTTTAGCAATATTCCAGCAATATCACGGCGGGGGACACCAGAAATGGGCTTCACACAATGTACCCATGTCGGGAATCGAACCCGGGTCTTCGGCGTGACGAGCGAACGCTTTAACCACTAGGCTACCCGACCGCCCCCATAACAGATGGAGAGGACATACATTGTGCATATCACCGTTAGAGAAGACATACATATAACATTTGGAAGAAGCACATATTTATCAGTTGGTAGAAGACATACATATAATATTTGGAAGAAGCACATATTTATCAGTTGGTAGAAGACATACATATAACATTTGGAAGAAGCACATATTTATCAGTTGGTAGAAGGCATACCTGTAACAGTTTGGGGAAAGCATACATTTTAAGCCTACAGCTGCGAGAAGATATATACCTGCTTGCTCTCCAGGCAGACACTCTATCCACTACACCGCGGAGGCGGTCCTCAGAGAAGGCTTAAACGTAGAGTGAGTGTGAGTGTGAGTGAGCATGGTTTTACGCTGCTTTTAGCAATATTCCAGCAATATCACGGCGGGGGACACCAGAAATGAGCTTCACGCATTGTACCCATGTCGGGACTTAAACGTAGAAGAACGGAGTAGATAATATACGCATATGTCATCATAGTAAATGGACGGGCAAAAGAAACTATACCTCTCAGTTGAGTGTATCATAGGTTTGATATCGTCAGCAAAATTATATCCAAAAAATGAACTGTGCTGACGCTTAGTCTGCACTCAGGGAATACTTCTGCAAGGTTTTATATTTTGATTTTAAAAATATCTAAAAAAATGCTGATGGGTCTTTAGACATCTCATCTTTGAAAATCAATAAATTGGTAGGGGTCATGTGGATACACATTTATTTCTTACTCCTATCTTCATTAAACTATTGTGTACTTACACAAAATAACCCTGCAACAGATTACTTTTTACAAACTGTTGCAGGAATGAGTGAACTCACTGACCAGATAATCTGGCTCACGTCAATGCAACATTACTGGTATTAAATTAGATATGGTTTTTCGTTTAACGAAAGTAACATTCAATGTTGAATGACCTGATAGTAATCATGTTTGCGCATGTTTTCTTTTCCCAGGAAATAATCCCTTCGGTTTATGCTGAAAGACGACGCCACTTAAGGAACGGATGCAGCTTGTTACAAGAAAAGAAATACGCCAATCAACTGTTTACAGAGAACAAAACGGAGATGCTACAGAAATCCCAAGTTGTCAATCAGCTGCTTACAAAGAACAATATGTGGATGTTGCAGGAACCGCCACTGTTCTTTTGTCCTTCCTACAAAACCGGAACTACTTTCTGGGGAAAAACAATGGACGTTTTGAGAAGGAAAGATCCGAATATCTGCTCTCCCTTTCAGGTTTTTGATAACTATGAATTACAAAAACAATATCTGTGGTCAAGCGAAATGTTAATGAACGCGTCGAAGTATAAGGATATAAATAAGATTTTAGAGGAACCGTTAAAATTTCTTTTTGTACGCAATCCTTTTCACAGAGTTTTCTCAGTTTATGTTGATAAACTGCTCGCACCAAATCCCTTTTTCTGGGACTTCGGAGCAGTTGCGAAATATAAATTTAGGGAAGGTTATGCCCGTGGTTCAGCTCAATTCCCTGGAGATCCAACCTGTGGCCATGATATAACATTTGATGAATTCATAAAAATGGTCCTGATTTATCGAAAAGATAGACATCTCAAACCAATTTCAACATTATGTGAGGTTTGCCAAGTGCGGTACGACATCGTGGGGAAGGTGGAAACGTTTGAACAAGACGTCCGGTATATACTACAAAAAACTGGGTCTTTGGGAAATGCAATACAATTTAAGGACTTTCAAATTGAAACAGCTGTCGATACAATACTCTACCAAGTGCAAAGAGCATTCATGCTCCATGAGGAATGGCGTAGGTGTCTTACTAAACACACTGGTATGAAAAGGCTGTGGAGACAACTTCAAATTTCGGGTCTTATTGACAAACATGATGGTTACTATCTTACAAGCTCTGAGAGTGAGAAGGTTGCTGTGGCAGAATATATTAATATGGCTCTTGAAGCCTTTCAGAGGTCGTCTCACCACGCAAAGGAAAATAAACACGAAGCCTACCTGCAAGCTTACAGTCAACTATCTATCGAGAATCTGGATCATTTAAGGATGGTATACCTTAATGACATTAAGCTTTTTGGGTATGATGATAGACCCAGAGAACTGTTTGAACAAAACCGATCTGATAAATATAATTTTGACTTTTTTGATCTAATGAGAGAATAACTAGTCTCGAAATCGTATTTTGCGAGAGTTATTTCAAATTAAGGAGAGGAGTTGGTATGAAGGTTGCTTTGAACAGTGTTTCACCTATATCATCGCATTTGAGCCTAATATGAGAGGAGACCTGTGAAGATCCGGGGTAGAATAGCAGTGGAAAATGATGCGAAAAACGAGTAGACGTAGGGCTGATGAGCTCCAGTTCAAAATTTCTTAGTCAAATAAATCCCTTGTGGGGAATAAAATACGCATTGTCGGGATGATATTTGTGGACTATCTATTGGATCTAGTGACAAACTTTCGATGGATCACTAATGACGCCAAATTGAACTGTGAGGGACTGAACTCGTATGTAACTCGAGTGAGTATTGTTGTTTTATTGCGTCTATATCTTCATCAATATACACAATCATATCCTCAAGTGTGTGTCAGGAGTGAGAGAGGTGTCATGATGAACCTATCCAAATAAAAGAACAGAACATCGAGAATCTTCGTCAACGACGATATGACAAAGGAACGAGCTAGACAAGCAACTGAGGCTCGGAAACTGGCAGCAGATGATAGAATAGCTAGCTGGTACCTGGGCTCGTGATGGGATCATCTTTGTCAAGACGCACGACGGCAGAGTCAAACTGACCACTAAACGATCCCAATGTATCAAAGTGATAGAATCTCTGAATCTGAAGATGAGGATTAACCTATCCCAGGGAACTACAGGCCTTCTGGGATACATCAACGAAGACAACAACGACCACGTCGACGACACAGCCTGGAATTATAAATGAGTAACTTCGGTTTAACGCCGCTTTTAACAATCTTCCAGTTATATCACGGCGTGTCAGCGTAATGTGGGAGGAAAGCCCAAGTGATGCAGGTCTCAGATGTTTACCACTTCGGTGTAACCATCGAACACGGATATGGTGCTGACAAAACTAGAAACGTAATCGGGAAATTAAAAATGAACGATGTCATGCAGTTCCTGTGTATCGGACTTATGTACTCTCGAAATATCTGCTTAATGATTCATATATCTTGTTAAATGTGTTATTTTCTTTTCAACAATTGACACTGTGTATCACTGGATCCATTAATGTCGCATCCGAAACAAAGGTTCTTGTATGATGTGAATTTGCATGAAGGAAGAGTGTCGTATAAGACATATACGTTTGCACTGATTATAAACAACCTGCAACAAACTGCATTGTCTTATCTTACATTTTGTTTCCGTTAAAATCGGTTTTTTAGAAGGTGATGCGCTATGTCACTCAATGTCACCACGACCCAGCATACATGGACACAATCCATTGCACGAGAAACCCCCGCTAATGTTTGCTTTCACTACAATGCATTGTTCAAATTAAACGTACAATGTTTGGAAGCGAAATTCATTTGAAAGATTGTTCATATATTCAGATATCGTGCTTAATATCGAACATTCTTTCCCCAGTCAACTGTTTCTTGGTTGGCTGTTATAGTATCCAAGTCCTTTTTTACACATTATCAACGTCACAGGCCAGCAAGTGTTTCTCGTGTAGCCACGATAGCAAATCTAATCTATGTCACCTTGACCCGCCTGCACGGTTATCTCCCCTTAGTTATCCAGCCAGTTGTTAGACAGCCAGTTGTCAGACACTGAAGTAGGGCATTAATTAGGGCAGTACCCACAACAATGGTACACTGGTACAGTCCTCAGTGAACTTATTAGGCATGTCTCAAGGTTCATTGTTTGATCTTTCTCTACTTATTTTCTACTTATTTATTATCATAGTTATTTACTAGATTGCTACTCCATTTGCTGCTCCAGTTGCATGTTGTACTCTGATTATCAGTTATTATGTTAATCCAATATGTAGTGTTTAATCTTTAAAACTTGTGGAAAATGAAGAACTTCTCAACTAGACTACTGCTCAAGTTACACTTGCACTTAGCTGCTTGTGATAATAACATTCTTAATATAAAACAACTAATCTTTTACTATCAATTTGTCAGAGTCTACTCAGTTTAACCAACTGTGATATACATATCATTACTGGCAGATCATGGAGCATTATCAGAATGGCTGGGTTAAGGAAAGTGGAATATATTATGTCACAGAGAGGCACACCTCAGATTCTTCTGGATGGATATCTCTACAACCGAAATCGAGAAAGACAGACCAGCACCCATTGGAGGTGTGTTATCAAGACCTGCACTGGTAGATGCACAACAAGTGACGACTTCCTCCGGAACCAGACTGAGCACAACCATCCACCAGAACATGTCAACAAAATAAAGTTCCTCAGCACACTTCGAAAGCGCGCCCGTGAAGAAACAACCAAGATGCACTCCCTCTACAATGACTAGCTAGCACAAGAAGATGACAACGAGATACCCCTTCTGCCTTCCTTCTCCAGCGTCAGCAGTGCCCTTTACAGTCAGCACCGCAACACCATGCCTGCTCTCCCCAGGAATCTCTCAGATGTTGATCTTGTTGATGTTGATTTTATGAACGTTCATAAAATCAGTACATCTGACTTAACACGTCTTTTTGTTTTCTTATATCTTGATGTTTAGCTATGGGTCATTCCATTATCAATCAAGGTAACAGCATTGCACTTTGTTGTGCACTCAACCAGAAAAGTTGTTATTTTAAGGTGTCTAACAACTGGCTGTCTAACTAATGGGAGGACACCGCCTGCACACCTAACGGGAATCCGGGTCACTTAGGTTACTGGAGATAACGGTTTGCTTTGTTTATGTGTTTGTTTGCTTGTGTGATCTTAATTTTATTTCCTTAAACTTCAGACACTTATTCCTGCAATATCTTCCTATAATGCACATGTACATTGCAACAGGGTTTAACTCTGTTTACTTCCTCCTTTTCACAAGCATCTTTTGATTTATCCATTTTCTGTATTTTTGGGTGTGACCCAGCATACGTGTACACGCTCCATTGCACCTGTACCATTGCACACGCTCCTTGCACAAGGAAGCCCGGTAATGTTACCTATCGCTACACTGCATTATTCAAATCATACGTATATTATTTGAAGCTAAATTCATTTGAAAGGTTGTTTATATATTCAGATATACTTTACTTGTGTTAAATACTGAACATTCTCACCCTAATATCCCAGTCCTTTTGTCACATTATCAGCGTAATGAAAAAGGTTGTTGATATATTCAGATAGTTTTACTTGTGCGAAAAGCTGAACATGCCTCCCCTTATCGACTGTTTTTTGGGTTAGCTGTCATATTGCTGGAATATTGCTAAAAGCGGCGTAAAACCATACTTACTCACTTAACCAATGTCACTGGTCAGTGCGTGCTTCTCATGTAGCTGCGTTAGTATTATATTATCTGTCAGCATGACCGGCCGACACACCTAAAGCCATAAACGGGAAACCGGGTCACTTAGGATACTGTTGACAAGGGTTTGCTTTGTTTATCTGTCAGTTGACCTCAATTTATTTCTTAAACTTCAGACATTTATTTGATTTACTTCTCGTCTCTTCCTATAATATGTCATGAACATATATATTGCAACAGGCCCCAACGCATGGTTATTTACTCTCTCCTTTTCACATGTATTGTGACTGACTTTTGGCTTTACATGCATGTTTTACCATTGCACACGCTCCTTGCACACGTACCATTGCACACGCTCCATTGCACACGTACCATTACACACGCTCCTTGCACACGCTCCATTGCACACGCTCAATTGCACACGTACCATTACACACGCTCCATTGCACACGCTCCTTGCACACGTACCATTGCACACGCTACATTGCACACGCTCCTTGCACACGTACCATTGCACACGCTCCTTGCACACGTACCATTTCACACGCTCCATTGCACACGTACCATTTCACACGCTCCATTGCACATGCTCCTTGCACGCGTACCATTGCACACGCTCCTTGCACATGTACCATTGCACACGCTCTATTGCAAAAGCGCCTTGCACACGTACCATTATACACGCTCCATTGCACACGCTCCTTGCACACGCTCCATTGCACACGCTCTATTGCACACGTACCATTGCACACGCTCCTTGCACACGCTCCATTGCACACGCTCCATTGCACACGTACCATTGCACACGCTCCTCTCACACGTACCATTGCTCACGCTCTGTTGCACACGCTCCATTGCACACGCTCCTTGCACACGTACCATTGCACACGCTCTATTGCACACGCTCCTTGCACACGTACCATTGTACACGCTCTATTGCACACGCTCTATTGCACACGTACCATTGCACACGCTCTATTGCACACGCTCCTTGCACACGTACCATTGCACACATCCCTTTGCACACGCTCTATTGCACACGTACCATTGCACACGCTCCATTGCACACGTACCATTGCACACGTACCATTGCCCACGTACCATTGCCCACGCTCCTTGCACACGTCCCATTGCACATGTACCATTGCACATGTACCATTGCACACGCTCCATTGCACACGTACCATTGCACACGCTCTATTGCACACGCTCCTTGCACACGTACCATTGCACACACCCCTTTGCACACGCTCCATTGCACACGTACCATTGCACACGCTCCATTGCACACGTACCATTGCACACGCACCTTGCACACGTACCATTGCCCACGCTCCTTGCACACGTCCCATTGCACACGCTCCATTGCACATGTACCATTGCACTCGCTCCTTGCACGAGGACGTCCTGGTACTGTAACCTATCACTACAATGCATTGTTCAAATCAACTTATATTATTTTAATCTAAATTCATTTGAAAGATAGTTAATATATTCAGATATACTTTACTTGTGTTAAATACTGAACATTTTCTTCCTAATCGACTGTTTCCTGGTCAGCTGAAACAGCATCCCAGGCCAGCATACTCTCGTGTAGCTACGTCAGTATTATGGCATCTATGTCACCGTGACCGGCCTACAATCTGGTCACTTAGGTTAGTGAGGATGAGTGAGTGAGTGAGTTTGGTTTTACGCCGCTTTTAGCAATATTCCAGCAATATCACGGCGGGGCACACCAGAAATGGGCTTCACACATTGTACCCATGTCGGGAATCAAACCCGGGTCTTCGGCGTGACGAGCGAACGCTTTAACCACTAGGCTACCCGACCGCCCCTACTGTGGATGAGGGCTTCTCTTATTTCAAGTAGTATGTATTTCGCTTTATTTTCTCTCTCATTGTTTGCTTGTCCTTGTAATCATTTATTTATTTCTTAAAACTTCAGACAATTTTATTTAATTCTGTACACTTTATACAATATGTTATTCAAATAACTCTTGCAACAGGCTCCAGCTCGGTATTATCTACT